ACTACTAGTACTAGTACTACGTAGTACTAGTACTACTACCACTACCCGAATCCCGTCAACGGAAGTCACCTCGATAAACTTCCAGCCCAGGAGCGAAAGTCGTCGCCAAAAAGAGCATAGATCGTGAGTGCCTCAGCCGGCAGGTGCGAGTTTGGTGGTTCAAGTGCTGAGGAGGCATTCACCATTCCATTGCCTCGCGCACTCTTGCGCGAACGACTGCGAAAGCTTCGTCTGATGTTCATAAGACCTGTGGACTCAGGTCGAAGATGTGCTCGATTGATTGGAGTAGTTGTCCCAAGTCGCTCCTCCCGCAGAATAATCACTTCCCCCTTTTACGAAACACCCCCCTCGTAATAAAACCACATTGGGGCGAATCCTCCCGAAATCATCCCTGCCCTGAAAAACCTATTCTGAATTAGGGGGAGGGTTGCGAGGCTCAAGAGCAAGAGCAAAAGCAAGCAAAAGCAGGAGTTAGAGCAGGAGCAGGAGCAAGAGCAAAAGCGGGAGCATCAACAAGAGCAAACAGCTGGAGCATCAACAATAGCAAAGCAAAAGCAAGTGCCGGAGTAAGAGCAAGAGCAGGAGCAGGAGCAAAAGGGACATCGAACCTTCCGCTTTTGTGTTGAGAGTTTAGTTAAAGAGCCAGAACTCTTTCACGGCCACCTATCATACAACAAGCATCCCAGGACTCATGCACTGAGGTCCGGGTGCGGGACTGTCGTCAACACCGTGAATCGCCAACTATTGCAAAGACGGCGGCTCTTCATCCGAATCCATGCCATCCTGGCTGCGCTCGAGTCTCGCACGGCATACAGCTTTCAGCAAATCGTGCTCAACAAAAACGGTGCCACTGAGTGCGAAAAGGCTGCAACCCAGAGCCTCCCCCTCAAATCGATGCCCTCAGGCCTGTCAGGATCTCGTATCTTGATCTTCCTGGCAGCCACGAGACCCGTCGAAAACTGGATCAACGGCGTGGGCGGGCAAAGCTTGGCGTCTACGTGTGCTGCTTAAAACACACCATGCCCAACTGAAACCACCAACATCCTATGAACCTGACCCGAAGTCGTCCTTTCAGCCCAGTGGTGGCCTGAGCCTCCGAATCAATTTCTGCAACTGGGCCATCGCCGTAGGCTTCGAAGGTGGCGCACTGGCCAAGCAAGCACAAGTCTGCGATAGAGGATTTGTTTAAGGGGTGATAATGCCCCTGCCCAGCTTCTTGACACCTTCGGGTATTCTTCACTCAAAGTCTCGTCTGACTATCCGCCTGGTGCATCTCACTGGCCGTTTTCTTGGACTCGTGATGAGCTGTCGCAAAGCACAAGACGGTGCTTCTTCGTAGGACTTTGGGCGAGCTACGCAGTCTGAGAACCTCCAAACAAAAACCTCTCGGCACTTCCCTTGCTTGAGGCACGTCGTCGCCCTGCTCTTCTTTGAGGGGCTCGTCGGTGGCCGTCCCTGGGAAACGCCAGCTCTCAAAAGAGCAAACGAGAAGGCAGCAATGATAATGCCGGCAACAAATAGAAGCAGCAGCAAGCACCGAAGGTCAACAGCAAGCGGCCGTGCTATCGCTGGTTGTACAAATAGTAGTAGCGTTAGCAGCAGCAGTGCGTAGTCGTCGTGTGGCTGAATAGTTGTGGCAATGGCGGCAGGAGTAGGAGCAGGAGTAGCAGATGTTTTCATGGTCGTCGTCGAAGTAGCACCAGAAATAATATAAGTGGTAGAAGCAGTAACGGAAGTAGGTAGCAGTAGCGGGAGCAGCAGCAGCAGCAGCAGCAGCAGTAGTCGCAGCAGCAGCAGCTGCAGCAGTAGCAGAAGCAGCAGCAGAAACAGAAGCAGTAGCAGTATAGCCGTAGCGGTAGAATTAGCAGTGGCAACAGGAGCAGTAGGAGCAGCAGTAGCAGCGGTAGTAGGTCGTCGTAGTGGTAGTCGTAGCAGTAATTAGTCGTAGTCGTCGTTGCAATGGTAGCAGGATTATCATTATTATTACTGTTGGCATTATTATTAGTAGTAGGAGTACGAGGAGCAGGTGCAGCAGTAGCAGTAGCACTAGTCGTAGTACTAGTAACTATAGTAGTAGCCCTAGTAGTAGTACTCGTCCCCCCCGGCCCTTGAGGACTCCAATCTCGGGGTTTTCAGAAAATAGCGGGCGTTAATATGGATTCCCAAAAACAGGGTCCGATTTTGACAAAGAGGACCCCTGAACAAGGAGCAAGCCTCATATCACATGAGTCCTAGAAGTCTCGGTGCCCTAAACTGCGCAGCTTGGCGCAGAGTGATTTCGAGAAGGCGGCGGATGCGCCGTGTCTTCAGGCAGTTTACAAATCTCAGAAGTCCTCTGACGCCACTTGGTACCTTCGGAGAACTTGTAAACGCCCAAAGCCAAATCCATCACAGTCGCGACTGAGGGCCCAGCAGCATGGCTGGGTGAGAACCTGGAAAGCTCGGTGACCAGGGATGCGGTACCAGTTGTAGTCTCGAGATATCACGGTAAGTCCTGACATATGGGAGTTTCCGAAAATAGGGGACCCTAATATAGTACCCCAAATAATAGGATCCTTATTATAATGACCCCAAAATAAGGTACCCCTAATTTTCGGAAACTCCCATACGAAAGCCTTCGCCTGAAGACACTTCCTGGACTGGAGGAGCGACATTCTGCGTTGCGAGGATCCCAAAAGTATCTTCCGCGGACGACAGAGACCAGTTCACACGCGTCCTTTCTCGGTTGACTGTCCGGGAAAGGGCTGCCCCAGCACTGGATGCTATCTGAGGAGAGAGTCTACCCCGCGAGTATACAAAGTTGAAAAGGTATGCCTAGAAAAAGTCGTAGAGTCACATAGGGGTAGCAGGGGTAACCCATGGCAGCCGATAATCAAGCTTTCGGAGAAAAAAAATTGAAAGAAATACAGGCCCGAACTGCTGGCCCAGCTGGCCTTGAGGGCTGCGGATGCACGGAGTTCGCGCCTTTCATGGCCCCTGCCAGAAATTCTTCGCATTCAGAGTTCAAGCTTCGTGAGAGGAGGGATCTTTGGGGAGTTCGGTTGGTACATGATTGCAGGGAGGTGCGACTTAGGTTGTATGTATGTATGTATGTATGTATGTATGTATGTATGTATGTGTGTATGTAAAGGTAAGGGTACCGCTCGATGGAAAGACCGACATGTGTACCTATATTCGTGAGTAAGCATGTGTGGTATGTGCATTGAGGTACAGTTCTCATCACTCGATGACGCCATCTTTGGAAGGTGTGGAAGTCTCGAACATGATCGGGGCGAGGTCGTGATGGGCTGAATGGTGTCAGCTTGGACCTACTCTACACGCCGAAGGCCTTGCAGCATGGCAATCTAGCACTGCCTGTCCTGCCTTGAAAGTTCTTGTGCTTCTCTCGCTGTGCCCGCAATAGCCGCAGGGGGGGGGAAATGCAAAACTTGCCGAACACACCCGAATGATAACATTTAATAGCCTGCACCTGCTGAGCACCTGTCGCGTTCGATGTCCGCTCCCTTTGCTGCATTTTCGATGAGTGAGCGGTGCCGATTCGGGCATCTACGGATCTTCGTGGTGAATCCATCCTCGGCTCCATCAAAGTCTCCACCCAGGACGTGGCACTTACCGAAGGTGCAGACCGGGCAACTCACAACTCACCCGAACATCCTCGATCTTGCATACACAGCAAGATGCCCCTCAGGCAAGCGACAAGAGCTCTTGCGGTATCTCTTAAACTGCAACCCTGTAGAAGCAATCGGAAACGAAGCTTTCCTCGAAGTCGAAGTATCAACTCCCGAGTGGGCCTTGCTAGCTACACTTGAAGTCCAAAGCTGCCGCCATTGCAGGCAAGACAAGCTGTCAAGGGCGCAAGTTGCGCCTGCGGCCCCCGTCTAACTTCTATAGGGATAGTGGAGTCCGTCTTTCTGGCTAAGTGGGCGCTGTGCTCGGGGCCTGAAGCAAGAAATCCTACCTCTTGCTGGGGTTAGTATGGCTTGGAAGCTGAGTTTAACTGCCGATGGCGTTCATTGCGACAGTCGGGGCTCACACCTCATGCTCATGTCGCTCTTACCGTAGATCCTTCATTGCGCCGTCCGGCTTTGCCGGCTGAAACGCTGCGGCAAGCCTTGCGTTCAGGGTGGAACATCATATAGGTGGTTGTCAAAATTAGGGTCCCTTTTGGGGTACCCTAAATAATAGGTGCCGTATTATAATAAGGACCCAAAAGGGGACCATAATTTTGACAACCACCCATATAGGGACGAGGAAACATGACCGGTTCTGTCAAAGCCCGGCTTGCAATGAAATGCTTTGGTTCTAGGTTCCACAGGCAATGTCTCGCGAAAACGGAACCTGCGAGCGATCCTTTAGCACGGATCTCGAATTCTTCTGGTTCAGGGCGGATGTCCCTGTGCTGGTCCTTCAGAGGTAGCCGTGGCCTTGGGGCCCCTACCTGATTTCCAGCTGCCGTCAGGTTACAGGGGAAGGGATATATAGTTAGTGCGACTAAACGATCTTGCCAAATTGCATAAGAGCAGCCGCGAAAATTAGACAGGCATGCGCACTTTTTTGCCTTTGCACAGCACGTTCTCAAAGTTCTTCCCTGAGCTGGACGGACTCCTGGAGAAAGGAGACTGGCTGAGGCGATTCAGGGTCACGCCCCTCGAAGATCAAGCCCGCCAGGTCCACGTGCGGGAAAGGCTGGACCGGAATTGGCTTGCCAAGGAAGTGAGCCAGCGGCGCCCAGCCGTCTGTGAAGTTGAACCTGACTCTTTGACATGCTGCTTAGCAGACTCAGAAAAGGTATCGGTACAGATGAGGCCATCCGTGAACATGAGCAAACCCAAGTCATGAGCAGCGATGCGAGTGAGGTCCGAAGCATTCGCACACAAGGCTCAAATTGAAGATCATGGGGCCTGCATGCTCTTGTCTCCGAGCGAAGTACCAGCATCACAGCCAAGCAACATAAGCAGAGTGTTTACTTCTTCCAATCCGATTTATGAGAGGGGGAGGGTGAATGAGGAGAAGGCCTGCACCAGAGGCCTCCCACGACCCTGGCATCTAAGCTTTACATGTGACAGCACCAGAAAGCCAAGGAACACAAGTAGCCGGTGTGCCGGGATCACTTGCTGCACTCGCTCATTGTGCTGTTGGTAAGCCTGCCAGGGTTGAGGGTCTAATCAAACGCACATGAGGAGGTTTGCTTAAGTATGCCATGCGAGTGCTTGGGTTGATACTGAAACACTCAAACCCCCTGACCCCCACCAACACACACACACACGCACACACCGGCAAGGCCGTGCAATACATCTCTGGTACATGTGTTATGGCTTGGCCATAATATTGCTTAGTGGTCGACAGAGATCCGCGCGCAGGGTCCTTGCAACAAGTTCAACAGTACTGGTGCGTATGTCAATACGATGGCGTGGCTGTCCATCTGAGGTCGTCCATTAGAACTGTCATATTGCCACATATCGCGCAAGAGTTTCTCAAAACAATGAGCACATGCAAATCAAACCAGTTCGGTCTGGTCTCTCATCGGCACCCGCAACGACGCGAGAGAAGCTTTGGATGACGTGCCATAAGCAAGTGCAAGGCAGTGAGTTCTGACAACCACGTCGACAAACCAGTCAGGCGTCTACCGAAGGCTGCAGTTCGTAGGACTGGTCGAACGAGTAGCAGTGACGAATGATTTGATTCCGCTTAGAATTCTTTGGCGAAGTTGGCAGTCCGAGCAACCGACCACTGCATTTAGAAAGGATCCTACGTTCCTACATGACAGAAAGCCAGGCATCCAGGCAGGCCTCCAAGCAGTGCCGTTTGGATTTCTCAGTGAAATTTGCAAACTCGCATCCCCAGTAGGTTGCGGCCGCGCAGTATCTTATCTCCTCAGCTGCGACATAAGGTCCAAGGATATACTTATTGGGCAGGTTCCCGCAAGCCTATCTGCAAGTCCCCACTGGGCATACTTGTGGGAACGGTCGACCGGAAAGTGATGCCACGCGAAACATTTCCTGATGCGGTCTTGTCTCCTCATGATCTTTTCGTTCTTCGTAAAAGACTCCAAAGTCATCGATCTGTGGTCCAAGACTAGTAACCATGCCCGCGATCAGCTTCACAAAGCTCTCGAACCAACCTGCAGTGCGTGTGTGAGGGTGCGCTTCAAAACCTTTCGGTAAACCGACTTTTAAAAGCGTCCTTCGCGAAAGAAGGAGAGAAGAAATGGTCCCCCAATTGGGCCCGCCAACGCTCTGGATCGGAAATGGTCAACACAAACTTTGCCTTCGGGAAAGCTTCCATAATCTCCTTCCAAGGCAAGGAAAGAGAAACGCTAGAATCTGTTGTTCAGGCTAATGACTAAAAAAAATCTGCAGCTGTCAGCTGCCACACAACTACTGGCAGGTACTGCAGATGATTCCTTGCCGTGCAAGCTTTCTTTAAATCAGGATTCATGATACGCCCCCCCCCCCCCCCCCCCGCCGCACAAACAGGATTCTGAATAACGGGAGGTATACAGAAGTCTCTTTGGATTTGAACAACTGCGGCTGAGACTTAATCTCCTCATAGACCAACTGGAAAGGCTCGTCCATCGCAGCATCATAGCCTTCCAGGGTGGCCATCGCATCTTGCAGTGAGCCATTGGCGAATAGGTACTCGCACCAGGGAATCCGCTTATCTGACCTATAGCCGCTGTGGAGCGTGTTCAGACCAAGTATCCTGAGAGCCTCGTACATGGATTGGGTGCCAGTACGCGGCGCGCCAACATCCAGCACTTCAAAAGCCGCGACAGAGAAGAGAACCAAAAACGGCAGAAGCAGTCGCGACATCACCCCTGAGTCAGTTGCATGTAGAAACGGTACAGTGGTTACACCGCTTGAGCCAAGGTTTCGGTCCGTGGATTTTGATTTAAGACCGCAGAACACTGACAAGGTCTGAAGCTCATTTGGGGCAGCTTCATCTCACATACACCCTAATTTAGGGGCCGTATAATAATTAGAATAGGGTTCTGGGGCCCTTTATAGTATAATGATAATAAGGAACACCCAAAATATTATAGGTAATTATTTAGGCCTGTACAGTAGGTGACGACGGTGGTGATGGGGTTGTCTAATTACGTTGGTATGAGCAGTGGCTCATGTTATGCCAACCTTGTCCGAGATTTGGCGCATTCGCAAGTCGAAGCGGGCTCGGCAACTCACATGCCGCTGCACTTCGAGTTTAAGCGCAGAGTCGAGATCAAATGCACGTTCTTGCCTTCGGGAGTTTCTTATTGACATGACTGTGATACTAGCTTGTCGTTCATGTGCAGCTCGGGTGAGCCACAGGAGCTGATGTACAAACCGGGAACGCGGAAGTCAAGGTCAACACGACTATATGCCATGAACAAGATGGTCGGAGGATTCCCGAACTCAGCTGCTCTGTCGAAGCTTTAGCAGCTTTCCGGACTGCTTGCTGCACTCCGGCACACACTGCCCGGGTCCCATCTCGGGGATGTGAACTCAACAGAAACCGAGGTGCAGGAGAGCAGTTTGGGTCCTGAAAATTGGGAGTTCACAGTCTTCAACTCTCTCCTTTCGGCTTCTCACTTTTCAAGAAGCCCTGCTAAGGAGCCTACAAAGGCAAGCGATGCTGGAAAAGGCAGTTTTGTTGTGCCACTCGGGTAGCATGAGAGCTTTCCTTGCAGTTGGTGGTCGGGTCATGGTCCACTTGTGCGCCTTATATATGGGATGGCCAGGATACTTGAACCAGCTGGCGCATGGAAAGGGGTCTCACGGCCACCACAGATTTGCTCATCGGGCTCTCAGTTGCTGTTCAAGGGAGACTTGGTGACACCTGCCGAAGCGGGGCTTAATTTGGCTTCAGGGTCCAGGATACCCTAAACTTCCTAAACCCTAAACCCTTATGATTACGAAGAAACCGGTAGCGGCGATCGGCTACCATCAGACTTTTAGGGTTCAACTCTGGACTTGCTCAGGAGTTAACCTCTTCTTTGCTGCGGCGACATCAAAGCACAAGTTGGTCGACAAAATCCTGAAGTCAATGCCCACAGAAGAATGGCTCAGGTGCGCTGCGACAGCCTAACATGGTCTAACTGATATCGCTCTACCCTCGTATTTCATGTATCTTTGCAAGGCCTACACTATCCGCTATACCCCAAATCCAGTCAGTGGGACAGTACGAGTTAAATGCGCTCGCATTGCAAAATGATGCAAAATGGACGTCGATGCTGAGTTTATGCAACACTTGGAGGCTTGGGACGAAGGAAGATCTGGAACATCCCGGTATGCTCATCCTGGCCTCGAAGTCCCAGTACTTTTCTTTGATCCTCTTTAGCCATGACCATTACAACTCTCTCAGAGGGCCGCTTATAGAAGAGGTGATATACTCAAATGTTTAACACTATGTGCGCTTGGCCGGACTCTTTTGTCGCTCAGAGCACAGCGTCTGGCACTGCTCGCTTGCGGAAAGCACTGTACCAGGTACTGTGATGCTTGAAGTATACTTGTTCACGCCCACTGCTTCACGGCTTTGCAACACCTTATGCTGGAAGCCTGTTGATGTCTAGTCCGTAGTTTTGCGTCACAACAGTGCCTCGTGATGCGCCGATACCGGAAAGGCATATAGGAGTGCAGGGCTGCCCGTTGAAACTTGAAACGTCCTGCCTGCGTGACCAGCACCACTCGGTCGGCGGAAGAGGTTGCGAAGCCTCAGTACGACATGGAGAAGGATTCGACACTATAAAAGAACCTATGTCTACTACCAAGTATTGATGCTGCCTAAAATTTAGCCGAACATGATGCCCAGAGCTTCGGGTCCTGCTGTCCATCCTGTTGGGGCAAGAAATGGCTTCTATCGATAGGCCAAGAATAAATCCAGCGGTTTGCTCAGTTGGAGGGCGAACTCAGAGTGCCTGACACGTCCACAGAGGAATGAAAACGAATGTTGCATCTGCCACCACTGTGTCGTGAAGAACTGAAACATGCAAGTGTTCGCCCTGTAATTGAGCGATTTCGTTGCAATCAATGCATGACTTGTTGCGACTCGCATGATAGCTGTGGTATATCATGATTTCGATACTACTTAAATAGTGACAAGGCACAGGGTGAACATGTTTCCGCTTTTGAAACTTCTCGGTACTTTCTCTAAACCGCAGCACTGACTATCATATAGAGCTCAGCCACAAACCAACATGCCAACAAGAACCTCAAACAACTGGGGCGGACACTGACCCAGCCTGCACCGTCAGACAATAGAATATGCTACGCTTGAATTCAGCGCAGTCTGGCGTGGTGGGTTGAAAAACCCAACTCCCAGTTATCCAGCTTAGCAAAGCAGGAGTTCTCCAGGTACTACACACCAGATGCCACATGAGATGAACAGAACATGATAGCAGTGCCACCCTCGAACACTCTGGCTTACCACTGTCTATTCTTCCCGCAATATGCCTCTGCAGAGAGCCCCTCTTTCCGTGGCAACCCGCCCTGTGCGAAAACCCAAGTGCATGTCTTGTCGATGTCAACAGTCCGGCGGCAACCTATCATGCCGGATAGCCTGCGTCCAGTACGGGCAGCGCTGCGACCAGAAGTCCGAAAATGCCCACCCAACTCCTGACCCCCAAGCCCTAGACACTAAGCCTGACTTGTCTTGAACGTGCCTGGCTTTCGGTGGCCTCCAAGACCCTCCACCACTGGAGGCCGAGACCTGCCCACGGGTGACGACATCCAGCGTGTCTGGCGAGATCCGGAAAACATCGGCAACAACATCAGCATGATTGATCGCATGGCAGTTGTTGACAATGCCGTGTGATTGTGCGTAATCAGTGTTGTGAGAGAGATGCGGATTCTGTCCTACTCCGGCTGAGACTACTACGGCTCCACCACCACCGCCACCGCCACCGCCACCGCCACCGCCACAACCACCACCACCACCACCACCACCACCACTGCCACTAACTGACACTACCACTGCCACTACCACTCCTCTTCCTCCCTCTTGTCCTGCTCGTCATGCTGCAGCACAATGACAACGATGAGGGTGATGACGACAACGATCATGATGATGGTCATGGTGGTGCGTCTGACGATGACAACGATGACCATGGCCGCAATGATGATGATGGTGGTGATGATGATGCTGATGATGATGATGATGATATGATGGTGCTGATAGTGATTTCTGATGAAGATGCTGATGGTGCTGATAGTGACTTCTGACGAAGATGCTGATGGTGCTGATAGTGACTTCTGATGAAGATGCTGATGGTACTGACAATGAGTTGTGAGTTGTGATGATGATGCTGCTGGCGCTCACAATGACTTCTGATGATGATGATGATGATGATGATGATGGTGATGATGTTTCTGGCGAAGACGAACAATAATAATAACAATAATATTGCCAATGAAGAAGAAGATGAGGAGGATTCCATGCATGAACACTTGGCACACCGGTGCTAATTATAGGAGACTTTCGACATGGAAGACCTTCTTTGCCTCTTTATCCTCCGGGCTGGAAGCAGATGGCGAGATGTCTGGACCTGGCTCAGCAGCTTCGTTCGGCGGGACTGCTTGAACCATAGGTTTGGACGGAAGTTCGGCTTTGGGTTGGTCGCGGCCCGGCAGACTAAATTAGACGAGGCACTTGGGTCTCGACTGCGAGATGCATGCTCGAGTGATTCGGAGGCTTCAGGGGGAGATACTCCGAGAGGCGATACACAGCTGCGTCGTCAGCCTAGGCACTGCTCTTGCTAGTGGCCTGAATGCTGATGGGTCGTGGGTCCTTGTGCGTGCCTCCCAAGACTCCAGATACCTCTGAGGCTTCAGCTTGGCTTTTCTGCCGGTGTCTGCTCGTCTGGCGTGGCAGAGGTGAGAGGTCCTGCAAGTCTCCAACATACCGACATGTTTGCAACAGCAGATCCAGTCAGAACAAGCGAAGATGGTCGAATTAGAAGGGACGGTGCATGATGAAGCAAGTTGACTGCCACTTCAGCCCTTCTCTCACTGGCTAAAAACATGGCTGTTCATTTACATGCTAACGGTGATGGCGATGATGGTGCTATCGAGGGTGACGGCAGCAGTGGTGATAGTGGTCGTGATTATAGCTGACACTGATAACATAAGAGTGACTGGTAGCCATACAGCAGAGATGACAACAGCAATCACGATCATCTCAAAAGCAAGCAAGCAACACGGGTCCAAGCATGGCAGTTCTGAAACGATATCTTTCCAAGTCGGATGTTGCAGGTACCTGGTAGCCTCACTTCCAAGCCCACGGCTCAGTTGGAGGAATTTGCAGGTCCAAGCGTCGCTGAAAGCCGGAACCAAGAGTCTGACAGTTCTCCTGTACTACTCAACTTCATCATTCCCACGAATCGGTTCGCTCCTGTTGATCCTCCCTCCAGCTCCAAGACGATCTCCTCTTCCGGCTCGGCTACCTCTACTTCTGCCTCTCAAGACAGAATCTGTTCGGCTCACTTCTTGCAGGTCTTTGCCTCGGCGTACCTTCTGGTTTCTGGGTTTGGCGTGTCTTGAAAGCTTCAGGGCTTCGGATGTGCCCCAACGCACACAGGCCACTCATGATCTCCAGCATGAAAGCTCAGGTTTCGTGTTGAAGACACGGCTTACACATGTTTGCATACACGCAAGAAGCTTTGTATGTCTACTTTGGGGGCCTTTATAATTAGAATAGGGTTTTGGTGTACAAGCGGACATGAGTCTGAAGCGAACGACTTGTGCACAGGGTTTTGGTGTATATAATACTATATGCATGTTAAGGAGTATAGGTAATTACTAAGACCCCTACATTTCATGACATGAAACAGTTAGGG